ATCCTTTCTCTCTCCAACTCTGACCTCCCCTTTCACCTGGTCAAAACTAATTATATTTCCTCAGCTGAACATAGCTGCTGCCTATGTTTCTGAGCATTTCCCTTGTTTTTCCTTTTATTTAATTGCAAGTCATTACTGCTGCCTGCACGTGAGACATGAAAGCATCCACAGCAGAGAAGCACCTTGTTTCTAAACGCAAGTTCATTTCTACTGGGAAAGAGCAGAGCTTATGGAAAACAGAAAATTCAACATCAGCCACAACACATTCCTCTTAAACTAACAAAACCTCTAGCCCTTTAGCTTACACAATAGGAGGTGTACGTAAAATGTGCTGTCATACATAAAACCAACTTAGAAATGTGCGTTTTTATATTTTTAGTACCAGCATACTTTAAGATTATTTAAAGAGCTTCCATGTGTGATATTTATATTGGCCAGACTGCAGAATTTTAGTGAATAATGAGGTGTTAGATCAGTATCCAATTACATTTGGTGATAATGAGGAACAGTAATGGAGAACAAGAGATTAATAACCATTTACTCAAAGGAGTAGCATATCCCAATAATTTGTACTTTTCAAACTGAATTCTGCACTTTACATTTCAGTTACTCAAGTGTTAGTATTAGGCAAACCTAGGTCAGGAACAGCCCAGGTTGATAGAAAATGCTGCTCTCTATGCTAGCGCTGTGTTTCAGTTCTAATCTCAGCACTTTGTGCTTGATGTGACATTTTCCATTTTTCCACAGCATTGCCTTCTGCTAAGTTAATGCCAGCCAATCCTGAATTAACAGCAATGCCCACTTGGAACTGAAGTGACTCCCAAATTCACTGTGGATTGACAGCCAGTATTTGAAAAGGGTTCTCATTACACCAGCCTTTCCTGAATTTCAACCAAGGGTTGCTGATTTATGAACTCATCTCAGATTCCATAGAAGAGGAAAGAGAGATGAATCAGCATTTCACCATCATTACTCATTAGCTTGTTTCCTTTATAATGTTATGTTGGATAGGTTTCCCCTTTCTGTGGCATGGTGAAGGCCCATTGACCATTGGTCCCACTGGATTATAATCCAGTCATTGTACTTTCTTCCTCAACCTTTCCACCTACCCAACTCGCTCCTCCAAGACCCTATTTGGCACCCATATCTGACCAAACTTTTTGTCATCCAGCTGAAGCATGTTTTGTTTGAAAATGTTCCCGTGTTAAAAGGCGCTCTATATAAATGCAAGTTGTCATGGAGGTTATAGAGTCAAAGAGTCATACAGCACTTCTTTACATTTTTATTCTTATGCCTCTACTTAATAACTCAAAATGCTATTGGCCCTATTTAGGATTATATCTGGCTGCACTCATACTTCCAAAGAGTTATAAGGAAAAAGTATCTGCATCTATAATCTCAAGAGACCCCAGCGTTCTGACGATTACTGAGTTACACTGAGGTATAGTCGTCATTGTAATTGTAGCTAATTTGCAAACAAAAAGATCCTACAAAACAGCAGAAAGACAAAATAATCTGTGTTAACAATATTGAAGGATAAAGATTGGTCAGGATTTAAGGGATACCGTGACTCTTCTTTAAATAAGTGCCCTAGGATTTTTTTTATATGTACACCTGAGAGGGTAGGTGGGGCCTCAGTTTAAAGGATCACCCAAAAGCCAGCATTTCTGAAGCAGTCCATGTCCAAATGCAAAAAGATCTGGTCAATCTGCAGGCTTGGGCTGACCAGTGGTAAGTAACATTTGTGTCACACAAATGCCAGGCTATGACCATCACCAATAAGAGACCATCTAACCACCATCCCTTAATATTCAATGGTGTTACCATCACTGAATTCCCCATTATCAACATCCTGGGGATTATCATTGACCAGAAACTCAACTGGACTCATCACATAAACACAATGGCTACAAGAGCAAGTCAGAAGCTTGGAATACTGTGGCGAGCGATTCACCTCCTGACTCCCCAAAGCCTGTCCACCATCTACAAGGCACAAATCAGGAGTGTGATGGAGTACTCGCCACTTCCCTGGATTGATGCAGCCCCAGCTACACTCAAGAAGCTCAACACCATCCAGGTCAAAGCAGCCCGCTTGATTGGCACTACATCCACATGCATCCACTCGATCTACTACTGGCGTTCAGTAGCAGCAGTGTGTACTATCTACAAAATGTGCAGCTGAAATTCACCAAAGATCCTCAGACAGCATCTTCCAAAGCCCATGATCACTTCCATCTTGAATGATAGAGTCAATAGATACATGGGAACACCACCACCTTCAAGATCCCTCCAAGCCACTCACCATCCTGACTTGGAAATATATTGCTGTTCCTTCACTGCTGCTGGGTCAAAATCCTGGAATTCCCTCCCTAATGGCATTGTGGATCAACGTACAGCACATGGGCTGCAGCGGTTCAAGAAGGCAGCTCACCATCACCTTCTCAAGAGGCAACTAGGGACGGACAATATGCCCACATCTCATAAATGAATAAAAACATTTCTGACAGTGCAACACTCTCGTAGTACTGGAATGATATGCTGGGTGTAGGTTATATGCTCAAGTCACTGATATAAATCAAAACCTGTCTGACTGAGAGACAGGCAGCATCAGAAGAGCAGGAAAGCTGACGTTTCGGGTCTGGACACTTCTTCAGAAATGGGGAGGGGAAGGGGACTCTGAAATAAATAGAGAGAGGGTGAGGCAATGATGGAGAGTGGATAGAGTAGCAGATAGGTGGAGAGAAGACGGACAGGTCAACGAGGCGGGGATGAAGCCAGTAAAGGTGAGTGTAGGTAGGGAGTTGGGATGGGGGTTGGTCAGTGGGGAGGGAGGAGCGGGTAGGTGGGAGGGAAGATGGACAGGTCAAGGAGGCGGGGACGAGCTGGGCTGGTCTTGGGATGAGGTCGGGGGTGGGGAATTTTGAAGCTTGTGAAGTCCACATTGAGACCATTGGGCTGCAGGGTTCCCAAGCGAAATATGAGGTGCTGTTCCTCCAGCCTTGGGGTGGCATCATTGTGGCACTGGAGGAGGCCCAGGATGGACATGTCGTCCAAGGAGTGGGAGGGAGAGTTGAAGTGGTTCGCGACCGGGAGGTGCAGTTGTTTGTCACGAACTGAGTGTAGGTGTTCCACAAAGCGGTCTCCAAACCTCTGCTTGGTTTCCCCGATGTAGAGGAGGCCACATCGGGAACAGCGGATACAGTATACCACATTAGCAGATGTGCAGGTGAACATCTGTTTGATGTGGAAGGTTTCCTTGGGGCCTGGGATGGGGTTGAGGGGGGGAGGTGTAGGGGCAGGTAGCACTTCCTGCAGTTGTAGGGAAAAGTGCCGTGGGTGGTGGGGCTAATGGGGAGTGTGGAGCGGACGAGGGAGTCACGGAGAGAGTGGTCCCTCCAGAAGGCAAATAAGGGTGGGGAGGGAAAATTATCCTTGGTAGTGGGGTCAGATTGCAGGTGGCGGAAGTGGTGGAGGACGATGCGTTGAATCCGGAGGTTGGTGGGGTGATACGTGAGGACGAGGGGAATTCTGTCTTTATTGTTATTGCGGGGGGGCGGGATGTGAGGGATGAGTTGTGGGAAACGCTGCTCTGATGCTGCCTGGCCTGCTGTGTTCATCCAGCTCTACACCTTGTTATCTCAGACTCCAACATTGGCAGTTCCTACTATCTCTGACTGAGAGACAAGTGTGCTACCCACTGACACCTTGTGTATGTAAGCCTTTTGTTCACTCACTCCCATCAGCATCTTTCCATTGAGGGTGCATCTTTCTTCCTTGTTTTTCTTCCAAAGGAATAATATCCTACACTTATCCATTCTTATATTAAGCTAAGGAAACCTGACATGGAACAAGAAATGCATTTCTAATGATGCCCTTATCTGAGAATTCAATTTTTTACCAAAAGGAGCTGGAAAGGACTCCAGAGAAGGCGAACTTTCCTCGTGTCCTGACCAACATTCTTCCCTCAAACATTGCCAGCAACCACAGATTAAGTGTCCATTTATAGCATATGTTGTTTATGGGACTTTACTGTAATTAACTGCAAATCACCTACAAAGCAGTGACTGTATTTCGTGAATGCTTGCCTCGCTGCGTAGCACCTTCGGTTGTACAGCTGATGTTAAAAACACTTAACAAATATGAGTTCTTTCTACTTCAGAGGATCCTTCATGCTGAGTTACAGTATGAATTTTATAGAAGCTGGCACAAACTGAATGGAAAACTAGAGAGTATGTCATGCTGTGTTAATGAAGATTATAAAGGAGGATGTCAGAAGCAGTGGGGATTAATTCTAGAGAATGCTGAGGAGAGCTGCAGAACAACGTGTGTTCTTTGATGTAGTTACGGAAAGTATAACTCTGGGTACCTCAAAAAATCTTGTATTGATAATCGAGCCACATACAAACGTTTTCTGAAATCCTCCAAATCACTTTGCCCAACTTCTAGCAATCATAAATGTATTTTTGATCACGTTCTGTTGGCAAATTAGACAAAGCTTCAGAAACGTTGCCTTTTTTTTTCTCATTCATCCCCAGGATTTCACTGGCTAGGTCCGTATTTATTGCCCAGCCCTGGGAAAGGTAGAGGTGAGTCACCTCTTGAACCCCTGCAGCCCATGCAGTAAAAGATGAAGCTGCCACTCTCTCGTTAGAGAGAGATGACTGAGGGTGGTTTAACCAGGGGGTCACCATGCCTCAGACGAGGGGAGAGGTTGAGAAGGAGAGATCTTCGTGGTAACCTCAGGCCGGTGTGGGAATTTAACCTGCAATGTTGGTGTCATTCTACATCGCAAACCAGCTGCCCCTTGTGGTAAAGCGCTACATGATGGGGGACTAAACCTGTGAGCCAGCTCATCAAATGCATGTGAGAAATAAGGGAGGGTGGAAGGAAGAATGCAGAGATTTCAGTTAATGGCCACTTGATTTGTGCATGGATTACGACCCCTGAACAAACTGCACCATATTATCCTCTTAAACCCGCGATTCTCGATATTTCCGCAGAGCCCAACAGCTACCGGACGATGGTGGGAAGGACTATTAATGGCAGCCAGCTGGGCAAGGACTATATCCAGTTCAAGAACTTGCTGCAGTCTGTGCGGTTCTACACGAAAGCCAGCCTGTATGGCCCGAACATTGGTAGGCCTCGGAGAAACACTGCGGCCTTGCTGGACGGGTAAGTTTATCTGCACAAACCCCATCCCGTGTGAAAGCGAGTGGGAACAGTTCACCCTGCTGCGTAATGACTCAGACCTTTCTGCAAATGACTGGCTCACTCTGCACTTAAATAGAGGGTGGACCATAAACCAAACTTACAGGGTTTTTAGCGAATTTTCCAACAAGGAGCAAACAGTCTGTGGCTCCAACACATCAGCGCAGACACAGTGTGACCTTCAGCTGAAGCCCACCACCCCCCGAAAACCCCAAGAGCGACTAATCCAATGAAATAACAGCACCAAATGAATCCAAATGACTCAGCCTCCTCTTAAAAGGGGCACTGCATACAAGAACTAATGGTCTGGATTTTGAGCTGAGGGTTTGATGGCGAATCATGAATGTACGAATTGGAAGTAGAGTCATGGAGCTGTAGAGCACAGAAACAGATCGCTCAGTTCAACCCGTCCATGCTGACCAGATATCCTAAATTAATCTAATCCCATTTTGCCAGCATTTGGCCCATCTACCTCTAAACCCTTGCTATTCATGTACCCATCCAGATTCCTTTTAACTGTTGTAATTGTACTAGCCTCCGCCACTTCCTCTGGCAGCTCATTCCATACACGCACCACTCTCTGCATGTGAAAGTTGTCCCTAAGGTCCCTTTTAAATCTTTCCCCTGTCACCTTAAACCTATGCCCTCTCGTTTTGGACCCATCTACCCTGGGAAAAAGACCTTGGCTATTCACCCTATCCGTGCCACTCATGATTTTATAAACGTCTTTAAGGTCACATCTCAGCCTCTGCTGCTCCAGTGAAAATAGCCCCAGCCTATTCAACCTCTCCCTGTAGCTCAAACCCTCCAACCCTGACAACAGCCTTGTAAACATTTTCTGAACCCTTTCAAATTTAACAACATCTTTCCTATAGCAGGGAGACCGGAATTGAGTGCAGAATTCCAAAAGTGGCCTAACCAATGTCCTGAACAGCTGCAACATAACAACCCAATTCCTACACTCAATGTAATGACCAATAAAGACAAGTGTACCAAATGCCTTCTAGTAGGCCACTCAGTGTCTCCAGTCTGCTCTGTCATTGAGTAAAATCATAGCTGATCTGATTGCTTCATATTTCTGCTTAGCCCCTATAACCTTTCACTGACACCATCCCCAACCTAAGTATCTATCCACCTCAGTTTAAAAAAATATTCAAAGACTCTGCTTCTAACTTGTTTTGAGGGAGAGAGTTCCAAAGACTCTCCACCCACTCTGAGAGAAGACTTCTTCTCATCTCTGCCTTCCAGAGCCAGGGGCCACAGTCTAAGGACACGGCTTAGGCCATTTAAGACGGAGATGAGGGGAAATTTCTTCACCAAGAGAGTGGAGAGCCTGTGGAAATCACTAAAACAAAAAGCAGCCAAGTTCAGAACATTGTACTGTTTCAAAAACGAGTTGCATATAGCACTTAGGGCTGAAGAGATCAAAGGATATGAGGGGAACCAAGAAGAGGGAACTATGTTGAATGATGGGCCATGATCATAATGTTTGGCAAAGTAGGCTCAAAGGGCCGAATGGCCTACTCCAGCTCTCATTTTCTATATTTCTGTGATTGGGCAGACCCTTATTTTTAAACTATGACCCCTTGTTCTAGATTGTCTCACAAAAGGAAACATCCTTTCCACGTGCATCCTGTTTCAACCACCCAAGGTCTCATATGTCTCATCATGCTCTCTCTACCTCTCCTACACTCCTGCAGCTAATAGAATCCCTACAGTATGGAAACAGGCCCTTTGGCCCAACAAATCCACACCAACCCTCAGAGCATCCCATCCAGACCCATACGCCTATAACCCAACTAATCTACACATCCCTGAACACTACAGGACAATTTAGCATGCCCAATCCACCCTAACCTGCACATCTTTGGACTGTGGGAGGAAACCGGAGCACCCGGAGCAAGCAGACACAGGGAGCATGGGTGGAATCAAATCTGGGTCCCTGGCACTGTGAGGCAGCAGTGCTAACCACTGAGCCACCATGTCACCCTCTAAAAAAGATACCCGGGCTCATCTGGGAGTTGAACCTGGGACCTCTCGCATGTCAATACTGCATAGTACCTTAAGTGAGAATCATACCCCTGGACCAAAAAGCCCTTGAAAACAAACAACTGCAAGGTTAATCTCCAAAATTATCAGCATCCATTGTCATTAGCCTTCTGAAACTAACCGTGCAGGAGGTCAGGCATAGGTTGTTCATTGCAGATATTCTGTTGCTCAGGGCTTGGGAGGAACCTGCCCAGAATGAACAACCACTGAAATTAGTGAGAACTTCCTGTTCACATCACTGTGAGAACTCTGGTAAAAGGTTACATCTTGTTCACTGAGCTTTGAACAGCAACGTGATGAATATGATGTGATGAACAACAAACTGCCCATGAAATAATAATTTTATATTCATAACAGTCTTAAATGATGATTGAGTAGATTTTTTTGATGATTTTTAAATAAAATCAGAATATTTAAATTTCTACTTTCATCCATCTCTAATTCGGTCTTGTAAACATCTTAAAAAGCGTTTTATTTTAGCTGCGTTTTGTTTCCTGATTGGGCTGTCTGTGAGAAGACTTGAATGTGATTGACTGCTGGGACAACCTAATGACATCAGTTCAGCTCCTACCTGGGGATTCTCGAGTTGAAGAATACTACAGTCATTTGCAGTAACACGGGAGGCTAAAGGAGAGAGAACATTTGAATTCTCACTGAGAGGCAGATATTATGGTCGGGGCCAGGACGGTGGTTAAACTGCTGATCTGAAAACTCAAGGCCAATGCTTGACAGGCACAAGATGGAAGAAGGTGGGTTACGGGAAATGGGAGGTCACCCAGAGTAGGTCTAACCAATGTGATTATGTGGTGATAGCATGACTCCAGATGGAAAGCCACCTGCTTGATTTCTTATGCTTTCAAGGCTGGTGAATGTGAAGGGAAACAGCCAAAACAAAAAAGATTTTGTAGCTGCTGAGCTGATTTGAAACCTTTGTGGGTATAGGAGGAAAACTCATGGAGATCAGGGCATGGCAGCATTCAGCATTGGCACTGCACATTAAACGTGTGGGTATCTGCTCTACTCAAGTACAAGTTTGAGCAGGTCAAAGTGGAGACTGCGAGGGTGTGGAACAAGAGCGAGATATTTTTCCCAGTGTTGGCTAGCACCTCCCAACGCCCTTGGCTCATTGACTGCCACTGCCATTGGAAAATCAGAATCCAAAAGCTGCCTCTGATCACAATGGATCAGTCCAATTGAAAATCACGTGAGAAGTTCAAGCTATGATTTTTTTTTATGTGTTGTAAAGAATAGTCTCAGAGAGAAACGGCTGATGGTTATTGCCATCTCTCAAACATCCCACGTACAATGCACTCAATTGATTTCATCCATCAGGTCACCACTGTTAATTCAATACTGGAGGCTGCTCACTGTCAAGGATTTCAAGCTTATAAATAAATCGTCCCTCATCACAAAGAGCCCATCGAAGGTGATTCTTACTCGTTACTGATAAATGGCCAACGTTTCCTGTTGAACAGCAGTCTTTAAGGAGACTGGATGTTTTATTAACATTAAAATTAATCTTTTATTATTCACTCTAGGGACATGGGTGTTGTTGGCTGGGCCCAGCATTTATTGCCCGTCCCTAGTTACCCTTGAGAAGATGGTGGTGAGCTGCCTTCTTGAACTGCCGCAGTCCATGTGCTGTGGGCTGACCCACAATGCCGTGAGGGAGGGAATTCCAGGATTTTGACGCGGTGACAGGAATGGTGATATACTTCCAAATCAGGATGGTGAGTGGTTTGGAGGGGAACTTGAAGGGGGTGGTGTTCCCATGTATCTACTGCCTTTGCCCTTCAGGATGGAAGTGGTCATGGGTTTGGAAGATGCTGTCTAAAGATCTTTGCTGAGAGGAAAATATCCCACAATTCATTTCCTGCCATTCACAACATAACAATGATAATTCTTGGAAACAGTGGAGATTATTTTGACTTTGGGAACCAAACTGATGATGCCAGATCAGCCATGTTGTATAACAGCAACAGAAAATGGAACTGAAAGCCACAAGAGATGTGTTTGGATTAAAAAAAAACACCTGGTTTATAACTTCATCCCAAAAATCAAAATTACTCCCAGGGTGTGTTGTATGTTGAGGATGCTTTAAAAATCAGAAGCAACTGATCGCCCTGAGTTATTTTGAATGATTGTGAAGAACTTATGTTCTCATCTGCTGTCCTGGACAATCTTCCGATGGCCTGCAGTCATGATTTCCTTCAGGGCAGAGCACACAAATGTGGCTAGGAATCCAGGTAAATTATGGAATTGCTTCTCATATCTGGAAATGAGGCTTATAGGCTTGGGTGTGGATAAATCCCTCTCTTCTCTCCCTCACAATCTTCATCTCTCTCCCTCCCTTTCTCTCTCTCTCTATCCTACCCCTTCTTCTTGCTGTTCCTTACTCATTCTCCCCATCCTTTTTTCTCATTCCCCTTTCCCTACCACTTCCACTCACCCTTCCTTCCTCATTTTCCACCTTTCTCTCCATCTCTCTTTCTCTCCCTGTGGTGATGTCTTTGGAGGGACCAGAACTGAAAGGCAGTTCCTACAAATCTGTCTTTGTATTTAGATAAGCGAGTAGTGGTTATGGTCTTGCATGAAATGCACAGCATGGGAACATGGGAACAGGCCATTTGGCCAAGCAGTTGGTCCTGGAGTCATACAGCACAGGAACAGACCCTTTGGTCCAACTCAAACATGCCAACTAAGTTTGCTACTCTGAACTAGTCCCATTGGCCTGCATTTGGCCCACATTCCCCTAAACCTTTCCTCTCTATGTATCTGTCCAAATGTATTTAAAATGTTGTAATTGTACTCCCGTCAGGGTGTCATGGTGGCTCAGTGGCTAGCCCTGCTGCATCACAGCGGCATGGACCTGGGTTCGATTCCACCCTCAAGTGTCTGTGAGGAGTTTGCACATT